CAGATCATGGCAATAAGTTATCAGCCAGTTATGCATTAAACGCGTATCCAGAGTCAACCACAGGTGTATGGATAATATTTGGGCCCCTGATAATGAAAATAATAAATTTTCCTATAAGTGCATGATACTGAATATTCCTAACCGGTTGCCCATGTTAGGATAGTTTGTGGTTTCAATTTCAACTTTTTTTAAATTTTTTTTGACATTTTCGCTGGAAAAACTAAATAAATTTTGAGTCTAGTAAGTATTATTTTCGATGACCTAGCTTGGTCTAATTCAACTTCGAGTGATTGAGCTTAAAATATCAATTTCTTTCAGATGTCGAAAAATTTTTGGTCAAAAACTGATACTTACATATTGCAATTTTTATGGAGAAATGATACTTGCAATCTTGTACCGTTACCTTCTTCGAATTTCTTCAGCCGATCACATATACGCCCTTTTTTAAAGAACATGGCTTTGTTCACTGGGGCTCATCTATCAAACGCATTTCGAAACAAAGACCGCTGGCATCCATTTTTGTTCATCATTTTACCCAAGAGACCAGAGAGATTCTTCTCCAAGCAAGAATTGGCGGCGCTGGAGGGGAATCAAAAAAAACTTGTGACAATTTCTGATTTGCACTTTTTACTGAAAAAATTTGCTGTGACAGAACACAAAGAAGGCAAAGGTAAACAAATTTTTACAGTTTCGCATATGAGTTATCAAAGTGTATAAAAATTCTTAGTTTAATTTTGTCTTGTGAGTAATAACGTTTGGAAACTCATTCATTTCAAACAAGAACAAAATCAACCATTTTTATTTCGTTGTCCTACTATTGAAAATGGAGTGGAACTTTGTATACGGGTGTGTTTTTTTTTCATTTTTTTAAATATATTAATCATGAGCAATCTAGCATTCGATAACAAAAATTACAGTTAGCAGTTAGCACAGTCAGAAAGCCAACGAGAGGCTTCTTGAAGGCTGCCCCGTAAAAAGTAAGTATCATTGACGTCATATCAAATCAAAATAACTAAATGAATTAGAGATCAAACAAGAGGTTTTCTTAGAGAGCAATTAGATTAGGCGCACACAATTTTATTTCAATTTAATTCTTTTAAAATTGAGCCAGCAGAATGGAGTGAACACGATCATATGTTTACTAAAGTATGAACTGGTGCAAAAAATCCTTTAGTTACCATGAGAAAACAAGTGGGTTCAGCTCTTTAGAGCCGGTAATCCAGTCGTCATATATTTTTTTCTAACTTCCTCTCCTTGAGTCCACTGATCGTCGGCGAGAGGTATTCCAGGTCTAACCGAGATCTCAGGGAACTTAGAAACAGTTGCATCGAGTCTAACGATACAATTCATTACTCAAGCAATTATTACCTATAATATATGAATCTGGTATTAAATGGTAAAAGGCAGTTTTGGCTTAATTTGTTCCAAAAAAAGTGGGACAAATAAACTCCAATTTGATAAAACATTCTTAATTTAGCAACACGATGGGAATAGAGTTATATTTAAATTTGCTTCTCTTTGTTGGCAAAATACAAACAGCTTGTGCATATGACCTTGTGGAATATAAACTTGCCTTACAATTTCGCATCAAAACTTCATTCACATTTTCTTAAAAAACACATAAACATGCAATTGACAAACTGATGGTATTTTATTTTTGAAAATCTAGTCCGATATGGAATGACGATAGCTTTTGTGAAACTTTATGCAAAGAAAATCATTTTTGTAACTTATGAGTACAATCCAAAGAACTTTCACGGACTACTATAAACAAGAATTCCATATTGAACGCAAGAGTGAACGTAAACTCTGTAGTACATAATCATTTGTGCAATAGTCATCACCATATCAAGGCGGTAAGCAACTCCACAAAAACTGACCAATTTCTTCCGAACATTGCCAACATGATATTTGAAGGAAAGTTTATTATCCAGTTAAATACCCAGGTACTTGCAGCTAGCAATGGGCTGCAAGCAATCCATTCCAAAAGTAATCCATACATTTGTCAAATTCGAAAATACTCATAAATTGGAATTCGATCTTTCAAAGGTAAGCTTGTTGTATCTCATCCAGTTATCTATTCGAATTCAATTTTCTTGAAAATCATGGCGAGAAGCAATTTTATATTTGATAATAGATGTATCATTAGCAAACAAGGTAAGTTTGCAACTTTTTACAACCTTAAGCAGGTCACTGATGTATATGTAAAAAAAAACAGGAGTCCCAAAACGGAACGCTGTGGTACCCCACACTGTCCATCCTGAAAGTCGCTTTGAACTTCGTTCAAAATTTCAAACTGTTTCCTATTTGCAAAATTGTTTCCTATTTCCTAAAAAATAAGGTATTTTTTAATCATAACAAGAGGATTTCCTCTAACGCCATATCACTTTAGTTTATATTGTAAAATTGCATATATAACAGTTTCGAAAGCATTCTTAAGATTCAAAAGAAGCGCATCACCTCTATGTTCTTCTGATCTTTCTAGTTTCGAATCCTTTCTGTTACTTCGAGAATGGCCTTAGCAGTACTTAATTTACTACGAAAAGCAAAATGAGTGGCACTGAGCAACTTGCAACTTTCAAATTAATTACTTAACCTGGAATGGATAGCTTTCTCAAAAGCTTTGATAATATTGATAAATAAGATTATCTCATCTATAAATAAGATTATCTCATCATTTCTTTTTCTTGAGTTCTCGGGAAAAATATTGAATGCTGAACGTTTTCAATAAAAATAGGATCGGCATTTTCTCCAAAATAGTAGCTATTTTTTCACTAAAACTTGGACCAACGTTCACAAAGAAATTGTTCATTTCTTGAGCCTTTCTTTCTTTAACTTCGCCAGGTACGGTTTGATCTTTTCGTTTTACAAGATTTGCTGCGACTATCTTATGATATTTATGAGTCTTCGATGTATTTAATTTAGCACTCCAAGTTTTATTCAAATACTTTCTGTTCAACTTATTGGATTTGTTTCTTAATGATGTATACTTGATCTAGTGATCTTCAGTAGGATTTTGTGTTTAAGATCTGTATGCTTGAACTTTTTCGCGGCTTTTTTAACAGCATTTGATACCCATGACTTCTTCTTGTTCGATACTTTGCGAATTTGAGACGGAGTGAACCTATCAAGGCAGTTGATAAGAACTCTAGAGATGTTCGCGGCGCATTCATTCGAATTGAGTACCATACAGTCATTTGCCTTCAATTGGATTGTAAAAGAAACGCTAATTTTAATCAAGTAACATCATTGTCAAAAACGATCAGATCCGATACGATATTCTCTATCAATTGATTAGCAATTGATTTCGACAAAGAAATATTTACTTCAGCCATAAAATGATCTACAGGACCTCAATGACGGATATAACTACCGTTTATTGCAAAACTGCCCCAAACCAATGCAAGAATTTTGTTTTCGTGTTACACGAGTTTATGACGAAGGTGATAAAAGTTGTTGATAACCAAAAGAACTGATTTTTTCGGTAATATTAATTCTTGCGTTATACAAAACTGATAATAAAATCGCCCATAACTGCTTTTCTTTTTGTTGACTTGGTTTCGTTGAGAAACTTTTGTAGTCTCTGAATCAAATCTCCGACCTTCATAGAGGGTTGCCGATAACTACTGTGAAAGTTGTTACTGTCTTATCAGCCGCAAAAACATCTAGCTTCAAAATTTCTCCTTCTGGCTCTTCAACTAAATGGTTTCGGTTGAGATCCTTTCGTATGTATAAGCCCACTTCACCTCCTCTGCTGACCCTGGGGCTCGAGAAAAACGTGTACACTTATAAATTGAGCAAGTCAGTCGAGACATTAGGTCTCAACCAAGTTTCAGTGACAGCAATGTCACTAGGCGCAATTGCGAGTTTCTCAATGCTTATTTCTAAGGATTCGAAATTAGACCTAAGCGACCGCACATTATTGTTTAGTAGAAAGACAGCCTCGGAAACTGGGGAAATGATAATCGGAACATATGAACGTAGATAATAGGAAATAAGATAGCTGTACTGAGACAAAACTACTAAGCCCTACTGAGGCTGTCTCCGAAAACAAATTCCCCCTGTCTTCTCCAGTAAACACACACGCCGTATTGCTAACATGAGAATAAGATTCATTTTGAGAAAATTGCTTTTGTTAAAAAATCATTATAATGCATTTTTTTTCAGGTTCAATTTTGTTCTTTTTTACCAAAAAAAAGGATTTTTTTTTGCCTGAATTCAACCTTTTTGGAGTTGCCGTGTTAAAGTGTCGCCTTTGAGTTGCTTGCTTGCCAAGATTAATCATTGAACCAGTCGCTTTCTTTAACAATTGTGCTTCACCCGAAGCAAGCAGCGATTCAGCATCTTCAGCGTCAGCCACACCATGAGTAAACCTTTTTCCCTTCTCGCGTTGGATGAAAAATTGTGGTGCATAATTGTTTGTCGTTGATTTCGATGTGAGATCGTTCAAGTAATCGAGTAAATTGAAAACTCTCTTTGTTAGTCTTTCAAAAAGGTATACCGGTTTTATATTGATTGCGTTTAGATAATTTCGTTTAAAAAACATACCTGCCCAGATGCGATCTTTGAGATCGAAGAAAAGAAATTTAACAATTATAGCAGGAGGGTTTTGAATATCTCGGATATGACCCACTGGATGGCATGCTACCATGGAGTCCCGAGGAACATTGATATCAATTGCTTCACAAAATAAAGCGATTTCATCCTCAACGTAATCTGTGCTATGTCACCAGGGCAAACTTTTGATGATTACGCAATCCTTTGATGTGTATCGCTCGAGGTCATTGACTTTTTTCTTCAGAAACACTATCTCATTTTTCATTTAGCAATTGTCTCGTTTTGAGTTTGAACATGCGCTAGTAGATTCTGAAGTGTCATTTTCAATGAAGTGTCAGTGTCATTTGACAGTTGATCGATGCTTTCTTTGATATTGTTCAGCATCATGACAGCTCTCAGTAGGATGTAAGATTCATCCCAATATGCACTCCAAATCTTATCCTATTTAATAAGTTTATCAAAACAATAAGGCTGTTTTTTTATTTTTGTTTTTAATGCAAAATCAGGTACCACAAATAATCATCGGACTGGGTTGATAAATATATCATATCAAAGATTTTTTTCGGGATTTGAAACATCTTAAAAATTTCCCTATAAAATTTCCCCATTCTGAAGTTTATGATATAGCTTTTTTGGGCGAGCAAAGCGAGCGAGCATACTTGTTAATGTCTAGATTAAACCGTTTTCCTTTTTTTATTTATGCATCGTCATTTTGGGAATCAAAATTTTTGCAAAAAAATTCAAATTAACTGTGAATTTAAAAAAATCTTTATGATGACTTTTCTTGTTTTTGTGGTCAATTTCCTTCAAAAAAGTTTGCCAATTTGCCTGTTTTACTGTGATTGTCAAACGTGCATAAATTTTAGTTTTTTCTTCCGATCTTTTTATTACACCAATCAGGAGATAATGACACTTATTTGAAAAAAAAACTTTTTTTGTGTGTTTTCTAAAGGCTACTTGTTCACAGAAACCGGCTATTCTTGTTTTTTTAGTCATGAACATTTTTAATAATATATTTACCAAGAATGAGAAAAACGTCATTTTGCATTCATTTGATCACGGTTTATGTGATCACAAATTTCCCAGTGTCGAGAAAAACCAGTTTAAAGCTTAAGATTTTTCGTCTAATTTTGAGCGAGTAAAGCGAGCGAGCAGACTTGTTAATGTCTAATTTAAGCCGTTTACAAAAACCTATTGTTCCGACTTTCGATACGAAATTAACGGAATATTTGTGCTCGGGGTGGGTTTTTTTTTTCTTCAGACAAATTTCGACTTTTTAACTAGCCATTTTTGACGGAATTTTCTTACATCATTCGAAAGGTTTTGTTGTCCTGAGCTTAAATTTGAAAAGATATTTCACCTGTGATCATTTTTCGTGAAGTTATGAGGGTTTAAAGATTGCCATTTTGACCATTTTGACCAATTACTTGGGACAATTAACGCGCAATATAATTCGCGCTATTAACGCGTAAGAGGAGGTTTAATCCGTCTTATAAATTGTTCCAAATTGGTTGAACGAAGCTTATTTGCCAAAATTGATTTGTTACAAGGAACAAAATCTATCTTTTTGTACTTTATATGGCATGTGGGGGGATGATTTTCATAAAAAATTTCAAGTTTTAGAAAAAAAAATTTCATTTTTTTTCTGTGTATTACTGCTGCTCAAAAAACCTTAAAAGGCAGTCGGAACATTCAGGGCTTCGCCCTGATACGAGCATTCTTGTTTATGCTTAGTTTTTGTTTTTATTTATTTATGCTTAATGTGTTGTTGGTCCGCCAATTTTGAAAACAAAATCGGTGGACCAAGTACACATTCAAATTTTTCCAATAGAAAAGATGCAATGTATCTATAATACCATGAGAGTTTGGCTTTTTTTTTCAAACAGCTTATAGTTTTGACGATTAGTCTGAACCTACCATTTTTGTATAGATAGTTCCGATCATGGAAACAACACGACAGGAATTCTGGATCCTATAACTCCTTCAAGAACATGCAATGACCTCAGGAGTCAACTTACATCACCAACAAACCCAGATGAACTTTGTATCTGCGAACGACCTGAGGTATTCGCGACTCAGTTCGAGCTGAACAAAGTCGTAGAGACAGTTGAATCGCGACTGAACTCACTAGTATCACGAAACGCAACACATAATTGCAGACCAATAGAAATTGCCCAAATTAACGGCAACTCAATGACCAAAAGACAACTTTCACACAATATTGCGACATTTTCGGGCAAATTGGAAGTGAGAGATTATGTTTTCATGAAATCAAAAGTTGTGTTCACAGTATATTTGGAATATAACTTGCTTAATTCAGGCAGGCGAAAACCAAATTTGCATTCACAGCAAGAAAGTCCCTCTAATATTCTGTAACTTGAAAAATTAAATAAAAAATCTGGCATATTTTTCATTTTGTATTTCCCAAAAAGTCAATCAACACGATGAAACAATAATCATTTTTTATTAACAATCACGGGGTAAGAAAGTTGCAAAAAAATGAAAGCGAAACCTAAATGAGGGTTTATCAAAGATCTTTATTTCAAACGAACAGCTTGGAGTTCCAAATTTCAAACTCCTTCTTCTGTTTACGAGGATTTTTCGGCTCTAAAAAACCCTCAGACAAGCTTCGTTTGAAAACAGCAAATTTGAACTATACAAACATGCACTATACATTTTTGAGGATGATAAGATATTTTCCGAGTCTAACTCAAAAATGATAATAATCATAATAAAATCATATTCGAGGGTTAGGTACAAACATTTTTTTTTTGAAATCAGTCAATTATCTATTTGGTTCATTTTTTCAACATTTTGTTTCGTTCAAGTCCACGTTTTACATTACTAGCAAAGTCTGCACATAGCTAGCCAACTTCTCTTCATTGTAGAACATCCGTACAAACATTACTTTTCTTTATGCACTTTTTCCACTAGTCTATTTTAACCAAATTTGTACCATGCTTGGTTTTCGCCGTGAAGTGATGGCGTTGAAAAACGTGATTCGAGAGGATTGGTTCTCCCGATTTGCCAATTGCGCCTCCAAAACACCCTGGGTCAACAACCAAGTCTGTCTATGTGGCGTGAACGAGTTCAAAACCTAATGATGTTTTGTCCTAGGAGCTACTGGAAACTGAAGTTTGGTTTCTTTTGGTCTTTATCTTCACTCAACTGGACTTTAACCACTATAGAGTATCATAAAAACATTTGCTTATTCACTCAATATACAAATTTAAAATTTTCATCATTGTTTTAATATATTGCTCGACTAGCTTTAAAGGGAGCTGCTCCAATCAGAAGCAGCAAATTTAGAATTCTCAATTGAAAGCTCAGTGCTAATTTACTGTATTTATTTAGGGTTGGAGATTCTTTAGTAGCTAGTGTCATACCTCAGTGTATGAGTATCTCAGTTACTGAATCCGAATGGATTGATAAACAAGAGTTCTATCCGAAGCCATATAAAACGACTAGTTGAAAGACAAAATTTATTGGCCACTGAGCTACAGTCCAAGCATAGGTCATGTCTGGAGTCTATCAAGGTCAACCGACCAAATAATCAAATATCTAGTACGGTAAGATTAACATAAAGATGAATAACATAAACAACATATATGTACTGAGTTTATCAATCCAGACCGGATGACATTCTCCCTTAGCGAGGAATTTGAAAATACAATGTTTTTCAATTTGAGTTTTATAGTCCCTGTGGGACTCGCTACTATTCCTGTTCAATTTTCCGTTGGGATTTTTCCTGACTCATTGTTGTTATCGTCCTCCATGTTGTTTTCGTGTTCTTCATCTTCGTGCATTTCTTCGTCCTGCTTTTCCTCTGTAGCTTCTTCCGTTACCTCCTTTACTCTCACGAATAAAATGTCTTTATCGTTCATGTCAATTGTGCTTTCCGTTGGTGAGGTCAAATCAACGATTTCGTTCTGTTTTTGTTTGTTTTTAGGGCTGATAGCTTTGAGAAATCTAACGCAAGCCTGGTACTTTGGAGTCTTTTCTGTGAAACCCATTTCTTGAATGAGCGGTTTTAGACTTGGATTATTCTCTGTTTCCGGTTTGTCTGGTGGTGAATCGATTTCGAATTGCAGTGGTGTTTTCGTTTTTTGGCTGGCGTCGTTTATGGTGTTGATTAGGATTGGGTTTCCAAGTGCGTTTGTGAGGGTCAATTGGCGATTTCGTGTTGACTTTCGTGTCGGTATGGCGGCACTTGCTTGTGGCGTGCGCTTTTGGTTGAGCCTCTTAGGTGACGGTGCTATATCCTCTGATGGTGTCGATGAATTGCCCTCGTTGTTCAAACTGCTAGTTTCCTTCATTTCTCGATTGGTTTTGCGTTTCAGTGGTTTCTTCCGTTTGCAGACTCATACCACGTGTTGGTTGCAGCTTGTGATTCGAACGCCCGCCTGTTCTCTTCCCCATCGTTTTTGTTTTTCTTTTTTAATGGCTGTTTTGGTTGTTCTGGTGCCCTGCCGCTTTTCCCGCTTGGTCAGTTTCTAGGCACTCCCGTCCCTTTGTCCTCCTTGAACATCGGGTGGCGTGGTGCGTTAGGAATCTCAATGTCTAACAAACGTAGACATGATCTTGATCTCCTTGAGGATTTTTACGCAACGTAAACACTTAACCTAGAAGGCCTGCATGGTTCTCTTAGTAAAGGATTGGGAACAAAAGCGACTCCGCTTTTTCTTAGTAGTATTGGTTATTTTTCATATGTTCAAGCCCATGCGGTGTGGGGCGTGTATGTTAGTATTCTCCCCTCTTTAGCTCTGTTTTTTTGCTCAAAATTTTGGGATTCTTCACCTTTGTTGCAAATGGAATTGTTTTCCGCGCCACGTGTTCTACACGTATTTTTGTCTTCTGTCGCCTCTACCCTTTTCTATCTTACGTTTAACTTATCCTTGATTTCTTCTATGGTTTTCTTATATTTAGCACCTGTGGCTTGCATTCTCAAGGTTCTTCGGTAGTCTTGGTCACTTGGGTTTTTACTCGCGGCGTTTGATGGAGACTTCATCTTTGGACCATCGTTGAAGATCGTGCATGATTTCCGCTGGTAGTGGCGACTTCGTAAGATTATTTTTATCTAAACATGCATGTTTTGCACTCACCCAGTTTAGATGGTTTTTTGAAGTTTCAACGGCTACGTTTGAAAGAGGAGTGTTTCTTGGCTTTCTACCCATATATGCCTCAAAAGGTGAAATTTTTGTGACGCCGTGTGATGTTTTCCATAACGTTTTTTATAATTTCTGCCACATCTGAAGCGAGTTTGTACGGTGTATTTGTTTGGTCTTACGGCTAGCCTACCTTTTAATGTTTGAATCTTTCTCTCTGCCACCCCTATTGCCCCATGATCCTCTACCGGAGCGAAGAGTAGTTTTCTGTTGTTCGTACTGCAAAGTATTTGAAGTGTCTTTGCATAACTTAATGGCAACGTTCGTTGTTGTGTTCGACACAACCTTTGCGGTG